CTGCAAAATATATGGTTCGAAAAATGGAAATCGATGAAGTCAAGTAAAACCCAAAAATGGTTGCAAAACTGTTTTTAAAACTATCCCAAGAATTCCCACGGAAAAATCTGGTTGTCATTTCAAGACTGAGAACGGAACTTTCTAAATTAACGCATTCTCACATAATAACGGAAATAATCCTCCTTAATGTGACCATTGTAAAGTTCTAAATGTAAAACACATTCATTTACTGCCCTCTATACAAAAGCAGTAGGCAAAAACACCAATTAGAAGGCAACCATGATAACATTCTTAACTCAAAAGGTTATCAACAGATAATTATTGGTTTCGTTAAGGAAATCAATATTTAGAATAGCGCTTAGAGGAACTACTTTTCATACTTGTGTTGTATGTACTCTCTTGTGTGTATTGTATTGAATGTATTCTATATATCGCATTTAATGTACGTATTGAATTGTTTGTATTGTATTTTCGTACTGTTTATGATAATTAATATGGCTCTAAATTTTATATTGTAATTGTAAAATGTATTTATATGTTTAGTCGCTAATGATCTTTATGTCAATGCAACGGTAAATAAATTTAAATAAAAAAACATCACACTCGACAAGCATACATTGAATGTCGTAATATTGATTTGTAAATTAAAACGCCACATTCAATATTTAGATCTAATTTAGTTTGGCAAAGAATATAGTTTAGCATTTTTCGCGTAAGTTTTGTTATTACCTTGAAGTGGTTTTTAGGATTGTGTTGAGCATCAATTCGAAATATTTAACTACGAGTTTGCTCGGGAATACATCTGTAAATATATTCACTGTGGGTTCTCATATGAATGAAATGACATTGATTTTTATTCACAAAATTTCTTGTAGTTTCTAAAGTCCTCTATATCTGAAGAAAACCTTGATACTATTCTGATGCGTTCTGATGAATTGATTAATCGTTTTTGACTAATTACATGATATAATCTAACTTTATAGTTTTTATCCATGTATGGGTGGTATTTTCACCACGGAGTAACATTGCGTGGTTCTTATAGGGATTATTCTTTCTTTACACATCGTATCCATTTGACACTGAAATGCTACACATATCAGGAGAACCGTGCGTTCCTTTCTTTTTGCATATTTTTAGGGAGAATTTGATCTTTTACTTACGTTTTGTTGGAGTAGTCGATGTCTTCTCTGCGGAAAGGAAGAATGTTGAATCTGCGCGGCATGTTGAAAACCTTGAGTTGCTGCACGGAATACTTGTGTGCTGTTCATGAAGCTGCTGTTGTAACGGTTTTTCTTGGCCGTGGAACATTTTCTATTGCTGCTCGGTCTGCAGTTCTTCTGTTGCTGGACGGATGGAGGACACTCTGCCATTTGCACTGGAGGTATTTCATACTTGTAGAGACATTTTAATTGCTTCCTCTGTTGGGTGTGTACTTTGTGCTACGAACACTGCAATAGCGTGGTCAACTTCCATATAACATGGTGGAAACCGTCACAGTGACGCGCTCTCCTGCACACCTTCTTACCGAATTTAAAATACGAACTGCTGCCAACGATACTTAAAACGTGCGTTGCTGTCGCGTGGGTTTGCGAGACGCAAGCAGGCACGTAATGGTAGAAAAGAGCGTTGATGTTCGGTTTTTTTTCACAGGTTTCTTATAAGCACATATTATGAATAATTGAACATAAGGGACACTTTTCGTATTACTCACAAATTAGCCAACTTTTATGGGCGAAAGTTGGCGATTCTGACCTGCAGCTGCACCCGACGACACTAGCGCCTCCTAACGTAGCACCTTGCAGCTTTGTCCCCGGTTTTGATGGAGGATTCAAAGGCCCTGATCTGATCTCCAGAAAAGCGACCACTGCAATGCGACCTTGCAACGATTTGCTGAAGCTTCGGAGCGCGATGTGAATGCTACCGCTTCTCGCGTTGAACAGCGGACAATGCTAAATGCACTGAATAAAACGATATGAACGTAACTATGAATTACGCATTTATTGGATTTTTCCAAAACTATCTAATTATTTTTTGTTGAAATATATCTCATATCGTTAATATTTTCAAAATGTTTTTTTATCTTATTGACTTTTTGAGTAGAAAGGCTTCAAATAACATTTTGTGAATTTCCTCGAATGTCCACAAATGTTCTGTGAAAATGAGCTAAAAACGGCTAGAAACTCTCAAATACCATTTCCTTGACAACTGCTCCAAATTTTTACTTCAAATATCTTGGCTAGTGTAACGTTTTCTATGTTTAACTAACTAAACTTATTTTATTGTGCCCCTCGTTGGGCATGACATTTGTAACGTTATTCCTATTCACGAATTATTTCAATAATATTGTTTATTTCAATGGACCGCTATGCTCATAAATTACTACTCTAATGATTTACAATTTGACTAGCTCTGTTCCTTTTTTTATATTTTAAAGATCTTGCATGAGTCCGACGTCACCTTACCTACTGCACGTGGATGTGTGACTCCAAACAGACATTACGTTTGCTTGGAATTCTGTGGAATTTACTAAATACTAAATTAATGGCAATTCAATGAAATAGCCGCCATTTTATTTTATTGTAACAATTAGCATTTATTACAAAATTTTAAGACCTATTTTGAGCTCATTATTAATGAATGGGCCTATGGCCTTGAAACATTACTAAACGGTACAGCTTTGATAAAAGTTCGTGAGCTTACGGAATGTTCTTTTCTCAGTCGCTTTGATGCCGTCGTCTTCTCCAGAAGGGAATATTTTGGGTCCTCGTGTCGTGTAGTTCATGTGCGTATCGACCGTGTAACTTTAGATGTTACCCGACTATTCCTAACTATTCAGCTCGCTATTCGGAAATTCCTAAACCAGCTTCAATATTATCGCCGCGCGACTTTCCCTTACTGGGCATCAATGTAATTTGAAGCAATTTTTGTTTTTAAAAAAGTACATAAATCTATTTTTTACTTTTTTGTATACGTACGGAGTATGTAAGGAGTAAAATTTGTATCATAGGTGCTTCGGAAAATCGATTTTCATATTTCAATGGAAAAAGAAGTTTTGGGATTCCCTGATACCGGAAAAGTGTATTTTTTAAACGTCCGTCCGTTCGCCCGTCCGTCCGTGAAAAATATTAGCGCCTAAACTATTCGTAAGTTTTTTTTTCCAAAACGAATATTCCTCGATCGATCTGGCTCTACTCAAAGCTCGTCAATTTTGAAAATAATTTTTTAAATTTTGCGGGTATTTTACATGAAGATTCATGGACCTTTTCAATTTCTTTAAAAAAATGGCTCCAAACGTTTTGAATTCCTTACAAGAATAGAGTAGAACGATGAAATATGTCCCATTTTCACTGTGAAGTCTGAATTTTCAAAAATTGCAAAAGTTTCCATTTTTTGGCGTTTTTCTACAACTACAAAATTGAAGATAGAGATTTTACTTTCAAATGAAATTTGATGTCCATAATTGGTTCTTTCATTAAGGTATTGATTATTTTTTGAAAATTTTAGTACTATTCCCCCAACATTGCGGAAATATGTGCAATATTAAAATATATCAGAAACAAGCAGTTCTCATGGCTCCAAATTGTTTGTTTAAACATTGTGTAGGGATAGTGCTAAATATAGTGCATAAGATAAAATAAACCCCATTAGATGTATTTTTTTTTAAAAGAAACGCAAATGCATTTGTAATTGTAAATGCATTTTTGTTATATATCTCACAGCGTTAACATGCACATTTCCAGTGATTTGAATACATTATTGCATTTGTAAGTGGAAGTGCTTTAAATGACTTTCAATGAGGGCTTTCAAAAATTCTAAGACCTGTGTAATAGAGTTTCAAAGTTTTCAATTACATTAACGCTTAAAATGCATTTTCTTAAAAACGGCTCCAAATTTTAGGGTACAGAATTATTCAGTACCAATGGCTTCAAAGGTACAATTATTTTAATTGGATTAGATATCATATTATATGTTATTCAGAAAATTAAAACTGAGAGAATATATTTCCACGAGAGTGTTAGGGAGACTGAATATTAAACATAAAGAAGCTGTAATTGAATACAAAGATTTATTACTTTCCATATTTACAATAAATTATAGCTTACAAACTATTTTATTAATTACATCATGTTTATTGATGATTTGAGGAATGTATGATTTGTTTTGTGTGGGTTTCAAAATAACGTTAACAATACTAATTATTATGAGTTTCTAATACTTTTTCTACATCGGATGCATCAGAGAACCTATTTACTATCATGTGAATCATCAAAATTATGGTTAATTAATTTAATAACCTGTAGGAACATATTATGCAAATATGAACAAGTGTATTTCTCGGTTAACTAAATGTTACAATAAATATTTAACTGGAATTATTTCGAAGTACCGTAGTAATTCCAGTTAAATATTTTGTTGCTTATTTTAATTACTGTGGTAAGGGGTTACATATTGTTAGTGTGTGAACCACCTTTTTGCAATTAATGTTTCATGGGACTCGTATAGGGAAAATGCGGAGCTCGAAGGAATTTTGTCGTTGAGCACTAGTGCTGAAGAACTGCAAAAAGGGAATAGAAGCAAAATATGTACGGTTACACATTTCAATGTTTGCATGTCCTGCCGCTAGTGTCACGAGGTAGTACGCACACCTGCCTCCCACGCTAAACGATGGTCAGGTGAAGGTGAGTAGCGGGTATAAATTGCTTACGCCTGTGGGGTTTTGCTTTCGAAAACCTCGCGCCCTGGCTGTACCGTATTACTGCGTTGCACCGGTGACGAAATACCATGAGTGGGCTGTAGGAGCGTGCACTCGAGGTGAGGGTGTCTCTGGTGTATGTGGTGTGTCCACAGGGCTGTACGATCGCGGCTGGCAGTCGGGGAAATATCTGAAAGTGAGTACGGGGTAGTTCAATATATTATTTGTAGATTTTGTAAATCAACTTGTATATATTTTTAATGTGTGTGCTTACGTCCACGACGCCAGAATATCCTGGCTGGTTGGTTCAGAGGTGGGACTCCCGCGGGTGCGGCGCGGCGTTTATCTCGGGCAGCGATAGCGCCCTGGAGCGCGACGTGGGCGGCGACGGCGCCTGCCGCAGGGGCTGCAGAGCTTCAGCGGCGTCGGCGGCGTCGGGGGCGGAGGCGGAGGCGGAGGCCGAGGTGGAGGCGGTGGTGCCGGAGCCGCGGTAGGCGGGCGAGGCGGCGCGCAAACCCCGTCCGGCCCCGGCCCCGCCCGCGCGCTTCGTCCACGCCCACGCGCTCACGCGCGCGCGCACCTGCCGCTCGCCCAGGCCGAAGAAGGCGAACAGCACGACGCCCTGCAGCGGCGCCGACAGGCAGAAGAGGTAGGCGAAGAAGAGCGAGGCGGCGGCGAGCGGCGCCAGCACCCACACCAGCCCCTGCAGCGCCACCAGCGCCACGCACAGCAGCAGCTTGCGCTTGAAGAGGCGGCGCGCGCCCGGCCCGCCGCTCGACCGCACCTCCAGACCCTGCGTCGCAACACCACTGCTTCACATACTATTTATAAGCACATTACGTGCAATTTAGCATGTACCGAGCGATGTGGCTCAGTGCGTAGCGCGCTGACTCCGCAATCGGGTTCGATTCCCGGGCCAGCCATCATGACCGGGGGGTTTTCGTGGTTTCCCTCGGTCATAA